TTTTTTTTTTGCATCATTCAATATTTTGTTCAAAAAAATCCTTCAATATTGTAAGTTGAGGCTTGAAGTTTTTCTTCACTTCTTTTAGCTTGAGAAATACTGAAGGTGTTCTTCCTTTTTGGGTTTCTAAATCTAGGTCTTTGCACATTTCATTATAATACTTGACTTTGTCTTCTTGAGCTGCTCTTTGAAATTTTCTGTTCAGCTCTTTACTTCCTCATTTCTTCCATCTGCTTTAGCATCTCTACACTGGAGAGCAAGTTTCAGAGTCTCTTCTGACTTCCATTTTGATCTTTTCCTTCCTTCCTGTTTTCTTGATGACCATTTGCTTTCATCTTGTACAATGATCTTGATGTCATCCCACAACTATTCTGGTCTTTAGTCATTAGTGTCTAATGCATCAAATCTGTACTTGAGAGGATCTCTAAATTCAGATGAGATATGTTCAACGTCATGATTTTGACTCTCATGACATTTTAATTTGCTTCCACTTCAGCCTGAACTTGGATATGATAGTCCATTCTAGTCTGCCTCTGGCCTTGTTGTGGCTGATGATGTGAAGTTTTTTCATCTCTTCCCATTGTTGTTGTTGTTAAGTGCCATTGAGTCAGTTTCAACTCCTAACAACGTGTATAGGGTTTCCAAGGAGCGGCTGGTGAATTTGAACCACCAACCTTGAGGTCCAGTGCTTTATCCCACACCACAACAGTAGGATCCTCTTCCCATAGATGTAGTCAACTTGATTTCTATGCATTTCACCTGGTGAAGTCCATGTGTATAGTCATTTTTATGTTATTTTTTAAAAGTATTTGCAAGAATAAGTCATTGGTCTTGCAAAATTTTATCATGCAAGTTCCAGCATTGTTTCTATTACCAAGGTCATGCTTTCCAACTACTGATCCTTCCTCTTTGTTTCCAATCTTTGCATTGTAATCACTTGTAACTATCAATACATCTTGATTGTATGTTTGATCAATTTCAGACTGCAGAAGCTGGTAGAATTCTTCAATTTCATCACCACTGGCTTTAGTGGTTGGTGTGCAAATATGAATAATAGTAATATTAACTGATCTTCCTTGTAGATGTATGGATATTATCTGATCACAGACAGCACTGTATATCAAGACAGATCTTGAAAAGTTCATTTTGATGATTAACATGATGCCAATCCTCTTCAATTTGTTATTCCTAACATAGTAAACCATATGAATGTCAGATTCAAAATGGCCAATACCAGTCCATGTCAGTTCACTAATGTCTAGGATAATGAAATTTATGAGTAAACCTCAATATAGGTTTACTTTATTTCCCCTATACTGATATTTGGAATCCTGGTGTGGCACTGTAGCATCAGAAATGGACTGCTAATCTCAAGATCAGCAGTTCAAACTCATCAATTGTTCCTCGGAAACCCTAAAGAGATCTGTTATGAGTTGAAACCAATTCAATAACTCTTCACAATAATAACATTGTGATAGTTGGAGGCCTGGAACCTATTCTCCTTTTACCAGTCCAGTATTCAACTGATTTAAATGAAGAACTGAGTCTATGTGAATCAAAGAAAATACATTTACTCTCAAGAAATAAAACTCCCCCAATGACAAATGATTTCTTCAAGTTCACTTATAAGAAACTAAGAATACATTTTTCCATAGGTTCATTACCACACCAAAACACCAAAAACCAAACCCACTGCTGACTCATGACAACTATATAGCACAGAGCAGAACAGTTCCTTAAGGATTTCCAAGACTGTTAATCTTATCAACAGTGAAAAGATTGAAGTTGTCAAGGACTATCACCCAGAGTCAGCGATGTGGCCACAGAGGACTAGAGTGGAGAGTGAAGCGTCCAGCTGATAGGAAGAGAGGGCACATGCATAAGTACACCCACTTGACCTGGTGTTGACGACTGGATGATCAGAGCTCAAACAGAAGAAAGAAGAGGGAAAAAAGAATAATCTGATACAATTTGATGAACTTGACATACACCTATGGAAGCAGTAGCTCAAAAGAGGGAACAAATCTTCACAGCGAGGATCATTCCCACCCCCTCCGCAAACGGAGAGGGCAAGGATGGGCAACTTGGACATTGACTACCCAGAGTGGGGTAGAGGGGGTAGCTACAAAGGCAAGAAGTGACTGGCGTACAAGCTTTCAAGAGGGAGCCTAGATCCAGAGGGTGTGGAGCAGGGTAGAATTTCCACTAAGTAATATCCATTCTGTCTAGTCGGGGCTGATGAAAGGAGATGTGGATAGGTCTCTTGTGATACAATAGCGAATAATTGTTATCAGGACTGATTGTAAGGGCTAGAAATGTAAAGGCGGATGTTTTGTGGCAAAGGGAGGGGAGTGATTAACTTTGCAGTCTAGGAGCGGAGGTCCCTGGGACCATCAAGGGAAAAGAGTGGAGAATGGAACCCTACCCAGAGAAGCAGTGATGCCAGGGATGGAGGCAGAGACGATGACATGGGGAGATGGAGCAGCTGTGTGCGGAAGACCGGGGGGCAGGCTTGCAAGGTATACCCTCTGGTTGGTGGATGATGCATGGAAGGGATTGTAACAATGGCAAGGAAACAATATACGACAGGATCAATGTGAAGCTAATGTCCTCCCTTGTAAACTATCACATAATTCACAATAAAGCATTAAAAAAGAAAGGTGTGCGACAGGATTGTATTCTTTCACCATACTTATTCAACCTGTATGCTGAGCAAATAAT